ACTTACTGAGTTTTTAGATAATCTTATGACTTATAAGAATACCTTGATTTCTATGAATTGCATGAGTGACCTCAACTCGAGTTTTATACTAGAAGTAATAGCAAGACGCCTACCTACTCGACTGCAAAGGAAGTGGGTCAAGATAAGCTCCCGTATGGAGGATGAGGATATCGATCCAAAATTCGATGATATCCTGAAACTAGTAAAAGATAGTGTCAATCAATCGACGAGCAAGTTTGCCAGTATATTAGATCTCACCCCTAGAATAGTGCAGTCTGAGGGTAAAACGCAATCATTGATGACGAATAGGCCTCAGAGAGGTGGATATCGAGAATGCTCCATGATGTCTAGTAATGCATATAGACCTAGTGAGTGTAACAGGTTCCGTAGTACATCCTCAACAGATAAAATACAAGATACAAGACAAACACGGTTGTGTTTCACACGTTTTCAAGAAGTGCATACAGAGGTGAACTGTGAACCGGTGAGCAAGTTCAGTGATAAGCTAAATGTAAACTCCAGACCTGACTCCGAATTGTGTGACGATAACGGTGCGGTGAAGATGTCTGTAGTTGCAACTGGTAAGCCGTTGTTGAATAAAGTGTCACAGAATAGAGTTGCTGCTTCAGAGTGCAGTTCTGACCCTACAAGTTTACAAGGTATTACTAGTCAGAGTGAAGTTATTAAACCTTTTATGATTTGCGAGGAGGAACCAAAATTGTCTACTTCTGTTATTAAAGAGTTTGAAAATGATGAACTTGACGGTAAATTGAATATTTGTGGTAATGATCATGATAGTGCAGATTTGTCTTTGGTTGATCATGATGAAATGGAGGGAATGCCTACCACCGCTAAGTTAAATAAATGTTCTGTAGAACTTGAACGTGAAGTAGAAATAAATGCAGGTGCAGTTGCAGAAGGCATGCGTACTTGTGAGACCGTCAGTGTGATTTATCTGCATGTAGCCCACCTATCATCAGATGCTAGTGCTAAACCTGAGCTGATCGTAAAAGACAGCAATGGTGGTGTTCTTGCAGTTAGACAAATTTCTAAAAGCCGAGCAACAACAGCTTTTCATCCAACGCTAACGTCATCAGCTGGTATCAATCAGTCGTCGTTGGTGCTGTCATCCACAATGAAACAGACGCCCATCAACTCAAGTATCTTGTCCAATGACTATGCTAGTATCAGTCCGTTTGAAAAGACGAAAGATATTGGTCAGTTTAGTGAGGATAAGCCAGGTGTAAACGAGAGAGTAATTGTTAAATTGACTTGCACGAATAAAGGCATTTCGAATTTCAAGTTGCTAATTGAATGTTATTATCTTTGGTGTAAATTACTCTTTTTCTACACTTGGTTGATGAGATATGTCGTATGTTTGTTGGTCATATATATTCTACGATACAATGACATGGGCGTGTTGCCGTTCAGATTTGAGGATGTAGCCCATAGAAGGAGGTCAGTAAATGAACTCTGCGACGATTTTCCAACCTAGAGCGTCAACCTGAGAAGGGTTGTAGGCGTACTGATGCAAGTCCTACAATTCTTCAAAGGGTAGCGCATCAATGAGCAGTCCAATGTGCTCGGTGTGTGATTTTGTACATATGCTCATATTGTATATACTGAACTGATATCATCTGTCATCTAGCTGTTGGTAATTCTGTTTGTGTCCGGACGACTTCCACTTGTATCATCAACCTGAGAAGGAATGTAGGCGTACTGCTGTAAGTCCTACAGTTCTTCAAGGGTAGTTTGTCGTGTCAGAATCCACAACATTTGATGTGTTGATTGTACATATGTTTGTGTTAAATAGTTGTGTGAGTTCCAATTGATGTAATTGTTGGTTAATCTTGTTTGTGTCTGGACATTCCACAACTTACAATCGTCAACGTGGGAAGGTTTGTAGGCGTACTGGTGTAAGTCCTACAATTCTTCAAGGGTATTCCATCGAGACACGATCTGCGAGTTTCTATGTACAGTTTGTATATACGTGTGGTGTGTCATATCAATTGGTGTATTTTGGATTCATTGTGTTTACTTGTTGTTTTCGTATCTTGTTGTTATTGCGTAATTTTGTTAAAATTTTCGTCGTGATTACTTCTGAAGTTGTTTCGAGTCTTCTACATCCATGAATGAATTGATTGATGTTAAGGACAGCAGATGGGGCGTATACGCCGGGGAGGCTAGGCTATTGCTGAGAATAAAATGCACCCGGAGATAATTGTTAGCTGTGGTCCGACACGCCGGGGAGAAAGAGTGTAAACGACTGAGGCTCGCATGCGTCACCGCTATTAGAAATGAAGCAGAATGAGTGACCAGCGATTTCAGTGGTAATTGGTAATGAGTAGATAAGAGGATGTGCGTAGAGTATCATGAGGTGGTGCTATGGTCACATTGCACTCTGCGAGAGTCATTCTAGCAAGCGGCGATTGTGTTGCAAGATGTCAAGAGGAGGTCTCTGTCTGGAGGCGCAGGTCGTCAGCGATGTGTGAGATTGTGCTGTGAGTATGCTTGTGGTGTGTTGGCTTTTCTGTTTGTTTTCCATTTCAGCTCTGTCCGTGTGACCCAGGTTCTCGCAATGGCATCCAAGTCAACGTGTATTGGTCATGAAGGAAAAAAGGGATGGATCCCTTATTTGCCGGGGAGTGTCAATGGAGTTGAAGATTGAACGATCAATTCTTGGTTGTTTGCTTAAAATCAACTTCCCCAATTTTCGCGGAGGCATCAACACGACAGTCATCGTCTCATCGGTCGCTGTTCAGAAAGAAGAGTAAAACATCATCAGAAGTAATCTTATGATTTCTTATTGTAATATTTGTTCACAGACCTTAGTTCAGTTATTCCTTTTATATGTTGTTGTAACAATAAAGAAATCTCAAGCGGCAGATCGGTGTTTTGGTTTTTTCATCCGTTATAACTAAGCGTTTCTGAAAACTTTAAGGAACAGCGTGGGCCCGAGCGTAGCGAGAGCTGGGCATTAACGGTTTATGAGACGTGATTGACAATGGTCGTTTACCTGAACGACTGATTTCATTCCTGTTTTCAGTTGGTCAGTTTATGTAACGTGCTGGGATGCTTTACTCCTATGAAGTGGAATATGAATACTGAATACCATCGACCATGGTTAATTAGGGAAATGCTTTTATGCCAGCCATGTATCATCCCTGCAAATGTTTCTTTGTTAGATTCATGTTTCAGTATTTTTGCAAGTTTCTTATACTTAAAGATGAATAACAATCTTCATCTGAATGTGGCGATAAAATAACTAGGAGACGACTTACCTCCTTCAAGTTCTGAAAACAGATTTATAAATACGACCGGTTAGGCACAGCCACAGAACACGTGGACGGACTGCTTCAATACATACGACAATCAGTCAGTATATCAGTCATTCTTACCACCTGTGATTTACAGAAATTAGTGTAAGAGTTCGAAACATAGTGGCTGTACCAATCGATGGAAATCTGCAGCTTGCTGGAAATGCCTTTATAACATGGCAAGTTCCTGACCCAGGTAGGACTTGACCTTGATGCTGAAGATCCGAATCTCGTTATCCATAATGTGAGTGGCAGATTTCCACGCTGAAATCACGATGATGAAGGTCGGTGTTGTGTTTTCGGCCCCAGCTTGAACATCTCAATATGTGCTCCTTGTAGTCAAAATGCCGATGTCTGCGTCAGACAGTGAGACAAATTACTATGGATCCCTACCGTTTCCGCTGGTTTTCACTTGTTATCTTTGTTTGTCAACGAAATCACTTGTTTTCACTAGGTTCACCTGAAGTTCTGTCTTCCAGGCGACCTGTCGATTTTCGTTTGCTAACCCACATGGTTGAGCAATATCAGAGACAAATCATGCTCAAAGTCAAGATCTAGTGTCTTCTCGACGGTCTTGCATATTCGTGTCTCCTCGCTTCTGTTGTATGATCCAGTCCACCATAATAAGATGCATTGGTGATTGTAGGAAGCCTAATTCTACTCCCGTTGCGGCTTAACGGTTCAATATGTTTTCCATGATAAGTTACCTGAGGTGAATCACCATCATTGGTGATCTGTATGACGTTTCCGGACGCTCCGTGGAATTTAAACGGTCTCCAAATTACCTCTCGATCTAGGGTTGCTTATGGTCTCTCCTGAATGATAAGGCCTAATCTCGGGTTGTAGAACACCGCGATTCAGCATAAGTTTTTGTAAAGGATTCCGTAACCATCCTTTAATCAGGTGTTGACTCTTCCAGTTGGTAGGTACCTTTCCTTTCTTTGACAAATTCTGCATTATCACGCTATTTAGTTTCTCGACAACAATGTTTTCAGCAATATCATCTTCAGGAGGCTCCCCACAGCAGTTAGTATCCAGTTAAACATGCGGAGAAGTATTATTGATTCGGTAACCGGTGGATTTTCACTTCTTTTTGGTCAGGAAGCAGAATGACTGCGAACCAATCCATACAAAATGTCGAATATAGCATGCAGTAACAGAAAATTACTATTGAATGAGTCAGTGGAATTCGAGGTGCGACTGTCAGCATATTTTCATTACTTCTTAGAAACTCAGGTTTATCGGCGCTGTATAGGTAATGATTAGAATTTGTCATCATGATCAACATATTGAGTGAACATCCAGATGTGCAGTACAGCTCATTTGCCGTGCGGATTTTGTGGAGTTTGACTGTTCTACGATTGTGACATATTCCACAAAGCGTCGCCGTGATCATGGAGAGTAAACGTGTGCTTTAAATGCTTTACAACATTGACTCCTACCTCCACTGATCATATACAGCGAGAACTGTGGACTTATGTAATTCCTCGTCACTATGCATAAAGCATCATCTTATTCTTTTCGGAAAGTAGACCAGTTGCTGGATTATAAATGATTTCCAGGTTACTTTGTTTCCTCATATTTCATTCGTATGTCGGTTATTGTTCACTACATGGCGTATTCAGGGCATATTTTCAAAATTCCACACTGCGTATTTTGTCCCTTAGTCGGTAGCTTACAGACAAATGCCTCATATGAAACGGCTTCGTTGAAAACAGTTTTAACTTCCCCAATCTTTTACTACTAATATTGTTCATCTCTGTCTAAAAGTTACTTCTGTCAAGGTTCCGGAAGCTAGAAGAGTTAATAATAAATAAAACTGATTTTTCTGCTACATAAATGACCTTAAGGTGATGGAATATGTCTTCTTTACAATTTAAGACTTCTCACTCATAAATGTTGGGTAACTGAACACTGACCACATTTTTCTAGGGGTCACCTATCTTTAGAGCGCAGTTTGAAATGGAGCAGGGTAAGACAGAACGTAACCTCCATCTGGCTCGCCGTCAGCAATGTGCGTGTTTAATTCAAGAAATTGGGTCAAGGCTGCAAACGTAAGTTTTCGCGTGGCTCGAATACATATGCTTTCCTTCAGGACACAAGTGGTTATCAACACTGGAATATACTACATGCATTACTTTTACGAGGTTTTTTCTCCGGAAACCATCAAACCCATCTTAGTTGCTATAGCTGCATTCTACTGTGCGTGTAAGACGGAAGATTTCTCCAGAAAGTTGTCTTTTTTGATTAAAGCTGCCTACGACATTCTAAGGAGGCCTGCTCCTGATGAAGCATCAGATTCATTTAAACGTCTCGTACAAAATGTCCATGCTCTAGAGGCTACTATTCTTATGGTGATCGGATTCCAAACACTTGAGGTGAAGCAACCTCATGTGTTGCTAGTAAAAGCCATTCGTATGAACAAGTTTCCGAAGGAAATAGCCCACACCAGTTACTATATCTGTACAAACATTTTACATCTCACCACCTTGGTACTACGACATTCTGCAGAAGCGATTGCTGCAGCTAGCCTATATATTGCAGCAAAGTGGAATGACACAGACATTCAGTCATCAAAAGGGGAATGGTTTCATACATTCTCACCTACCCTGACATATGAGGAGATCTCCAAAATAACAGATGAGTTCACTCTGACTTTTCAGGAATGCGATTTGAAAATTAGGGAGCAGTTGCGTAATTCACTCCGAGTAAGTTGTTGTATTTTCAATATAGCGTTTAGTCTCGGAAACTGCAAAAAGAACGAAGGGAGGAACCAATCAACAATCCTCCTCGAGGTCTAGATTCTCAAAGAAGATTCGCACCGGACTCTCAGCAGAGGAGCGATTCTTGGAAGGTAAGTTCCGAATAGTTGTTCGTGACTCTGGTTAGTCTTGGTTTGGGTGACATTGCTAAATATTCAATTTAACAGTTATTTTGGTTCTAGGGTATATGCAGGTCTTATTCAAGGCTTTCCGGCACGTTTAAGTAATCTCTGCAATAAGCTTCATGGTTCATATTTCTAAGGCCACATGTTTCTTTTCATAGTCGAGTCTTAATGGGGTACTTAGTACCACAGCGTCACACATTTTCATCGGTTCTCATTCAAATGTCTGTACGATATCTACAAGCTTTCATTTCCTCATATGGTCTCCATGTTGCACTGACTCCCAAGTCGTTACTCATTCGGGGTTGACTCACGATATTGGCGAGTGATGTTTAACATCTCAGTGTATGCTCAACCCACCTGCATTTCCTGCTGAATATTTTGTTGGGTGATAGTTTTTTGTCTGGTTTGTTGCCTGAGTCCCTGACCCCTATCTTTTGTGGACGACGGATTGAAACTCAGAGCTTCAGTGTGCCTCTTGGGCTAGATGGGGACTTTAATACACAGGCCGGTTGTCTAGAAAATCGTTTTGTGGGTGGTCAATCACGACTGCATTTTTGAAATCTAGAGAATCCAAATCGTCTTCTGCAGCTCTGCACTGATCACAATTTATTTCTAACCTGTGCTAATTTCTGACACAACCACTACCGTTTGCTACCTTACGTCCTCCCATCACCACTTAATCCTGAATTCAAACAGATAACGTTGTTATAATCAGCACCCGATGATATAATTGCCTACAAGACTACTTATTTTTTTGTGACACTCGCCTGAATCCTGATCATGTTTCAGTGTGTGTCAGGTTTATCTTGCCACTCGGTAGGGACTATAAACGTCGTTATCATGTTTGCTTAGGAAACTGGTGGCAGCTGATAACAACTTACCGGAACCCCCTCCCAACTTATCTCGGGCATTCGTTTCATTCGAATTCATGAAAATGTAGAGCAACGTATGCGTGCCGCTAATAACCACTGGGTTTTCTCTGAGTTCCTTCCAACTTGTTTACGGTCGTTAGTCTGTTATGGCAGATAGGGAATATAATAACACGTAAGGCTCTTACTCATCATATCAAACTGTGCTCATGTAACCACTGAGGAATTTGACGGTTAGAATCAATAGCTGCATCTGACAAAGGTCGGAAGCCATCCCAGTTTATCCAAGCCACCAGCGGCAAATAACTTAGTGTCGGCCAGACAATATGAGGGTGATGGTACTTCGACTAATTACCTGAGTAGAAATGTTGGGTTTCTTTGAAAGACCGGTTGGTTCACAGTGCCCATTATTATTCACAACACTCGGTTGATACTAATTCATCAAATGAAAGGAGCTTCAAGTACATCCGGTCTAGATAATTCACCTTCGGTTTTTAAAAGATGGTCTAGACACCAATCATGGAATTGACCTGGAAATTTCTTGAAAGTATGAGGAAATGATAAGGATCCAACAGTGTAGACCTAATTTATTTCTTACCTGTTTTTAGAAATGGCCGATACAATTCATGTGATAATTATTCGAGATAATGATCTGTTACCAGTGACCTGAAAAACATTGACTATTTTGCTTCATAGGCTATTTTTAGTTGCGTAGAAAACCGACCCGCAGGTAGTAGGCTGGCTTTCGTCCAGCTTGCGAAGGCATTGATCACGTGTCCCGCAAGATTCGCTCGAAAATCCCTACCTACGTAGAATCGTTCACATCAAAATGTGAGTAATTATGACGTCCAAAGGCGTGTTTGGATATCGTGGAGATCGTCTTTCAACAAGTAATTTCACTCAGACATCGAATTTCGCTGCTCGGACACGTATTACAAATATCCCAGCAACCCTCTTCCCACTCACTGTCTCTTGTCCACAGGATGGCGTAGAAAAAGCGTAGTGTTCAATCCATGATGTGGCGTCGTGGGTTGAAGACTGGTTGTGGGATGTAGCCATCTGTGAGTCATGACTACCTGGGCGGGGTCCGGACGACTATCCGAGTCATAACTTTCCTTTTTTCGTCATTCTGTTCCTCACTCATTGCACTTATTTCCGTATGTTGCTTTCATTTTTTCTGTGGAGTGTCGCTTGTTGCCTATATCATATGTTTGTGTTTAGGCTATATATATATATATATATATATATATATATATATGTATATATATGGAAATACCTGGGCCGTAAGAAGGCATTGACTTAACGATAATGTTGGAAATTCGGATCTCCTTTCTTGTGTTAAATGCTGTAGATCTTCACACCGATTTCAGAGTGATGAATGCCTGTCCTGCTCTTCCGATTCCGACTTTGATATACCCATCCACGCCTCCTGTTGTTGAAATGATGCTGCTTAGATAAGGGGAAAGGTTGAATTCCTTTAGATTTCAAATACCGATGGTGACTCACTTATTCTTGTTGGTTAGGTATCTACATGACTAGACTACATTGAATCCTAGCCTAAATATAGGAAGTGAAGTGGTATAGCGTGTTGACCACTTCACTGATTTGGAAAGTTACATCAACCCATGCTGGTTGATTGCTGACGAAATCTCATCACAGATACAAAAGGCTGTTGTAGCGTTTGCCAACTCACCCCATCTGTGGCATGGACGTGATATCCGGTTGTCGTCCAAAAGACGCATATACTACTCAGCAGTTCGCTCCGTCTTCCTTCATGGTTGAGACATGAAAAGGCTGTTCTGATCGTATGTGCCTACGTCCTGTCTCTCGTCGTAGATGGTATAATAGGGTGCGTAATACTAAGGTTAGGCGTCGAGTGCTAGGTAAGGAGTAGAAATCAATCGATGAGGTTGTGAGTTTACACCGATTGAGATGGTTTGGACATGTGTTACGCATGCCTAGTTATCGCGTCCCTTGACGGGCAGTGTTAGCTGACATAGGATCAGGTTGAAAAAGAGGTGGTGGTGGTCACATCAAAACATGGCGTCAGTTCAGCCTATTTCAGGCGGAGTCTAACAATCCTTCAATGATAGTGCAGCTCAGTATTTTGTATGTGTACAGACTCATGGTTCCATGCATATTCTTGCATAGACTCAAGTCTCCTTCTCTGGCTATTTGGTGAGGTAGTCTTTGCTCCAGTCGGTGCCTACCCTTGCTTTCTTCCAGATCTTCAGCAGAGGAGTGAGTATGTCTGCTGATGTCTCTGTCTGTCTGTTTTTGACATAGAACTTTGCACCGATGTGCAGCAGTTCAAGTCGCCACACTCCATGTAGCACACAAAGCAAGAGAAGAAAGTAGAAGAAATGCATAGTAGAGACAATAAACAGGTGTAAGACAAATGAATAGTAATAACGAACTTTATATTCTCACTGGAAATCATAAATCACAGGGAGTGGATGCGCCATTGTGAACGATTTTGAGCCATATCACCGATTGTTTCCAACCATTGGTTTTTACCGTCCCGAGGACCCCAACCCGGAAGTCTACATCTTCCTACGTGGCTAGCTTGAACTAACTGTTGTGGATTTCGTTGACTGGTGCCATGTTTTGGTTTGACCACCGCTAGCTCTTTTCCAGCCTGACCCTATGTCAGCTAACATTGCCCGTCGAGGAAGGCGATGACCAGGCCTAACCATTTCAGTCGATGTAAACTCACAACCTCGTCGATTGATTTCCCCTCCTTTGCTAGTACTTGACGCCTAACTTCAATATTGCTCACCTTACTATACCAATTCACACGGGAGACAGAACTCAGGCACCTATGATCAAAGACAGCTAATGTTTTCATGTCTTCCACTCTCTATGGTCAGCTCTCACATTCATAAAGGGGGACGAGGCGGACTGCTGAGCAGTACACGAGACCTTTGATTGATAACCAGACGGATATCACGTCTATGCCAGAGACGACGTAAACTGGCAAATGCTAAACGAGCCTTCTGTATCATGCTGAGATTTCGTCAGCAATCAACCTGCTGGCACTGGCTGATGCAACTTCCCAAATAAATGAAGTGGTCAACACGCCCTACCACTTCACTCCCTATATCTAATCTGGGAGTCAATGTAGTCCAGTATCGTAACATCTTACATTTGGCGGGAGCGAATTGCATGTCAGCATTTGCAGATTGCAGCTCAGGGTGTTCAGAAGACTCTGCATTTTGTCAGCGTCCTCGCTTAGAAGGACTATATCGTCTGCATATTCTAAGTCAACGAGATTATTCCCTGGTAGTACGTCAATCACTGAGTCTCTGAAGTGAGTTAGGATTAAATCCATTAGTACATCTCTGATAAAATTGAATAGAAATAAGAACAGGGGGCATCCCTGACGGACACCACTAGTCGTCACCATTTCAGATGACAACTCGCCGTAATCTCTCACCTGGCTGCATGAGTTTGAGTAGAGTGCCTTGATCAGTGCAATGTTTTTTTCTCAACATTCCTTTCACAGCCAAACATTTCCATGGCACCTCTCGGTCGACAAAATCGAATAACGCCTTTAGGTCAAGAAGTATAACGATTGCTGGACACCGGTAAGAATGCCTATGTTCTAGAATCTGTCGAAGGGTGAAGATATGCTCAATACATCCTCTTCCTGGTCTAAAGCCTACCTGGCTCTCACGTGTTTGTGCCACCCGAGCACCACTTAGTCTACGCAATATTATTGAGCCTAGGACTTATGATAATATATAAGTCAAGCTAATCCCTCTGTGATTATCACAAGAAGGCTTGTCTCCCTTCTTGTATATGGGGATAATCAGTGACTTACACCAACCCGATGGGACTTCCTCTGATTCCCAGACGCTGCCTAGTACCTCAGTTAATCCGGACAGTAAACTGTCTCCACCGTACTTAAATACCTCTGGAGTCATTCCATCAGGTCCCGCTGCTTTGCCTAGTTTCTGACTAGTGACAGCTTTAGTAACCTCAGTTAGGGATGGAGGACCTGTGTCTATATCCCATTCAGGGAGGTGTTGTATATTCGGCAGGTCGAGCGTGGCTGCAGACCAATTAAACTGCTCCTCATAGTGCTCTTTCCAACGATCCAGTCGTCTATCCTGAGAGCTAATTATGTGCCATTTTTCGCAGAAATTGTTTCACTTGTCATTTGCCCATTACCACCTGTTTCCCTGATAAACCTAAATAGTTATCTGGTGTCGCCAATCGCCGATGCCTTTTCCATCTCTTTCGCTTTTGTCACCCACCACTGTTCACGGTCGTTGCGAAGACTTCTTGTTAGTTTTCGTTTGAGTAGGTTTCGCTTCTCATCATAATTGGAGCTCTCTGGAATCAGTCTTCTTGCGTCAATAAGTTCGGATAAGGCGGTAAAGATCCAATGGCTCTTACTAACTTTTGGTTTTAGGTTATTAACAGCTTTTACAGCTGTGTCTACAGCTAACTGTATGTTGTGCCAAGCTACTTCAGGAGGAGTCCTGCTGTCGACCTCACATTCTCGTTTCTCTATTTCTTCCTTTAATAAAGACGCAAAGTTTCGATCTGGTTGGGGACCCAGTTGCTTCGCTGCCAAAAATTTATTGTGTCCATATAATTGTAAGCATAAATGTGCGCGAACCAGGGCGTGATCAAAGTCTACGCACGACCAGGAAGAGGGTGTATTGATCATATCTTCACCCTCCGACAGATTCTAGAACATAGTCATTCCTACCGGCGTCCAACAGTCATTATATTTCTTGACCTAAAGGCAGCATTCGACTCTGTCGATCGAGAAGTTCTCTGGAGATGCTTGGCTGTAAAGGGAATTCCGAGAAAATATATTGCACTGATTAAGGCACTCTACTCGTACTCATACAGCCAGGTGAGGGCTTACGGCGAGCTGTCATCTGAACTGATGACGACCAGTGGTGTCCGTCAAGGATGCCCATTATCCCCTTTTCTATTCAACTTCATCATAGATGTGTTAATGGACTTAACCCTAGGTGACTTCAGCGACTCAGAGATTGACTTGCTACCGGGGAATAATCTCGTTGACTTAGAATATGCAGACGATATAGTCCTTCTAGGCGAAGACGCTGACGAAATGCAGAGTCTTCTAAACACCTTGAGCAGCAATCTACGAATGTTTGGCATGCGATTCGCTCCCGCCAAATGCAAGATGATGTTACAGGACTGGACTACATCGACGCCTAGTTTAAAAATAGGAATTGAAGTGGTAGAGCACGTTGACCGCTTCACTTATTTGGGAAGTACCATCAACCCCAACGGGCTGATCTCTGACGAAATCTCAGCACGAATACAAGGGGCTCGTTTCGCATTTGTTAGTTTACGCTGACTCTGGCGTAGACGAGATGTTCGACTATCGACCAAAGGGCGTGTGTACTGCTCATCAGTCCGCTCCGTCCTCCTTTATGGTTGTGATACCTGGCCACTGAGAGTGGAAGACATGAGAAGACTAGCTGTCTTTGATCATAGGTGCCTGCGTTCTATTTCCCGTGTAAAGTGGCATAATAACGTGAGCAACATTGAGGTTAGGCGTAGAGTTCTAGGTAAACAGGGGAAATCAATCGACGAAGTCGTGAAGCTACAAAGACTGAGATGGTTAGGACATGTGTTACGTATGCCAAGCCATCGCCTCCCTCGACGAGCTATGTTAGCGGATATAGGGTCAGGCTGGAAAAAAGCTAGCGGCGGTCAAACAAAAACTTGGCCTCACCAGTCAATGAAATCCACAACAGTTGGTCTAAGCCACGTAGGAAAATGTAGACTTCCAGGCTGGGGTCCTCGGGACCATAAAAACCAATGGTTGGAAACAATTGGTGACATGGCTCAAAATCGTTCTCAGTGGCGCAGATGCATCCACTTCCTGTGACTTATGATCTTCAATGAAACTGTTTTGTATTTCTTTATTACTCCTTTGTCTCACCCCTCTGCTCACTGTTTCTATTATGCTTTTCTTGTACTTTCTTCTCTTGCTTCGCGTGCTACACGGAATGTGGCGACTTGAACTTCCGCACATTTGTGCAAAGTTCTATGTCGAAAACAGACAGACAGACAGCCTACGCACGTGTGCCATAAGGAGCGGCAGTCTCCCACTGACCCTCGCCAACGATACCCTATCGCTATGTGGTCTATCTGAGTCCAGCGTTGAATTCGTGATGGAGATCGCCAGGTTACGCAGTGTCTCTCTTTTTGCCTGAAGTTAATGCTGACCAGGAACAGATGATTAACCGAACAGAACTGCCAAAGACGATCACCGTTGTCGGTTGATGCTCAGGAAGGCTTCGTGTGCTTTTCGAAGTGTGTGGGTGGTTGTTACCTCCAGGCTGCCTACACCGTGAAAGTTGCTTGATTCTTTGGGCACCTGAAACAGAGGGAGTGTAGTGTTGCATGACCGCAGAGCCCAGCGGACAACTGTCTGAGGCCGGTCACACACGGCCTGTATAAACTCGTTTCTTGGTTTGGTTCCGTATTAGTAAACTTACTGCCGGTAGTGTAAGAAAAATTCTTACACTATGCCGGTAACTGCTTTTAGTCTAATCGCTATCCTAACAACCTTCCTTGGATGGTAGGACCTGCAGCAACAATGGTTCCAGTCAGTTTAGCTTGTTGGGTCATCGCGATATGCAAGCCCGACCACCACGTCAAGGTAGCAGCTATCGGTCAGGTGTCTGCTGATGTCTCTAATTCTGTTTTGAATTCCTTTAAGGCATGTAAATTCAAGTTTAAGTTCCATATGTTTGCGAGATAGGGTTTTTTTTTGTTGGCTTGAAGTTGTGCTAGTCTTAAATTTTCAGATACTAATGGGATTTCTTGATCACACATGCAGTGATATGATTTAGAAAGACTACGGATTTAAAAAGTTATCTTAGTCTACTCACACGATCTGTTAACAAGCTGGATTTTCATAAGTAAACTTTCAAAAGTTTTGTCTCATAATAGCAACTTTTGGAGAAAGTATTTAATTTCAAGGATAATCTTTATTAACCTATCATTATAGAGAAAGTTGATATTTCTAAGAGTTGTTCATTCTAAGCACAAAGTCTGAAAATGTTACAAATCTTCATGTTAAAAGTAAAAATAATGTCTTCGTTGCGATGTGTATTCCCAAGCGTAGTTAAGACTACTAGATAGAATTCGTGATCGCGCTCCTCAAATTTCTTGTGATTTTTTGGTTGATCATGGTCAAGTCACAGGTACATTCGTGACTTGCTAATTCTTGTAAAGACACTTATATATTAGGAAAACAATGAAATTAATCAACACTATACTCAGTTTTTTTAGTATTATTAGCCTACCTGTTTTAATTGTTGATTCTCAGTTGAATTTCTTCTCTAATCTTTAGCCCGAAAAAAGACCTTACACCACTGCCAATCCTAATCCAATTCAAATGGCTCCTCAACACGCGACCCATCATAATCGGAGTCACGCTAGTAGCTCACAAAATATTCAAATGAATCATGCATACCATGGACACAATCGTGCTCCTACTTCGCATGCTTATGGAAGCGAGCATTTTAGTAGATCTCACTCTAATCGTGCTCCGGCTACTGGCCCTTGGTTTGGTTCCGTATTAGTAAACTTACTGCCGGTAGTGTAAGAAAAATTCTTACACTATGCCGGTAACTGCTTTTAGTCTAATCGCTATCCTAACAACCTTCCTTGGATGGTAGGACCTGCAGCAACAATGGTTCCAGTCAGTTTAGCTTGTTGGGTCATCGCGATATGCAAGCCCGACCACCACGTCAAGGTAGCAGCTATCGGTCAGGTGTCTGCTGATGTCTCTAATTCTGTTTTGAATTCCTTTAAGGCATGTAAATTCAAGTTTAAGTTCCATATGTTTGCGAGATAGGGTTTTTTTTTGTTGGCTTGAAGTTGTGCTAGTCTTAAATTTTCAGATACTAATGGGATTTCTTGATCACACATGCAGTGATATGATTTAGAAAGACTACGGATTTAAAAAGTTATCTTAGTCTACTCACACGATCTGTTAACAAGCTGGATTTTCATAAGTAAACTTTCAAAAGTTTTGTCTCATAATAGCAACTTTTGGAGAAAGTATTTAATTTCAAGGATAATCTTTATTAACCTATCATTATAGAGAAAGTTGATATTTCTAAGAGTTGTTCATTCTAAGCACAAAGTCTGAAAATGTTACAAATCTTCATGTTAAAAGTAAAAATAATGTCTTCGTTGCGATGTGTATTCCCAAGCGTAGTTAAGACTACTAGATAGAATTCGTGATCGCGCTCCTCAAATTTCTTGTGATTTTTTGGTTGATCATGGTCAAGTCACAGGTACATTCGTGACTTGCTAATTCTTGTAAAGACACTTATATATTAGGAAAACAATGAAATTAATCAACACTATACTCAGTTTTTTTAGTATTATTAGCCTACCTGTTTTAATTGTTGATTCTCAGTTGAATTTCTTCTCTAATCTTTAGCCCGAAAAAAGACCTTACACCACTGCCAATCCTAATCCAATTCAAATGGCTCCTCAACACGCGACCCATCATAATCGGAGTCACGCTAGTAGCTCACAAAATATTCAAATGAATCATGCATACCATGGACACAATCGTGCTCCTACTTCGCATGCTTATGGAAGCGAGCATTTTAGTAGATCTCACTCTAATCGTGCTCCGGCTACTGGCCCTTGGTTTGGTTCCGTATTAGTAAACTTACTGCCGGTAGTGTAAGAAAAATTCTTACACTATGCCGGTAACTGCTTTTAGTCTAATCGCTATCCTAACAACCTTCCTTGGATGGTAGGACCTGCAGCAACAATGGTTCCAGTCAGTTTAGCTTGTTGGGTCATCGCGATATGCAAGCCCGACCACCACGTCAAGGTAGCAGCTATCGGTCAGGTGTCTGCTGATGTCTCTAATTCTGTTTTGAATTCCTTTAAGGCATGTAAATTCAAGTTTAAGTTCCATATGTTTGCGAGATAGGGTTTTTTTTTGTTGGCTTGAAGTTGTGCTAGTCTTAAATTTTCAGATACTAATGGGATTTCTTGATCACACATGCAGTGATATGATTTAGAAAGACTACGGATTTAAAAAGTTATCTTAGTCTACTCACACGATCTGTTAACAAGCTGGATTTTCATAAGTAAACTTTCAAAAGTTTTGTCTCATAATAGCAACTTTTGGAGAAAGTATTTAATTTCAAGGATAATCTTTATTAACCTATCATTATAGAGAAAGTTGATATTTCTAAGAGTTGTTCATTCTAAGCACAAAGTCTGAAAATGTTACAAATCTTCATGTTAAAAGTAAAAATAATGTCTTCGTTGCGATGTGTATTCCCAAGCGTAGTTAAGACTACTAGATAGAATTCGTGATCGCGCTCCTCAAATTTCTTGTGATTTTTTGGTTGATCATGGTCAAGTCACAGGTACATTCGTGACTTGCTAATTCTTGTAAAGACACTTATATATTAGGAAAACAATGAAATTAATCAACACTATACTCAGTTTTTTTAGTATTATTAGCCTACCTGTTTTAATTGTTGATTCTCAGTTGAATTTCTTCTCTAATCTTTAGCCCGAAAAAAGACCTTACACCACTGCCAATCCTAATCCAATTCAAATGGCTCCTCAACACGCGACCCATCATAATCGGAGTCACGCTAGTAGCTCACAAAATATTCAAATGAATCATGCATACCATGGACACAATCGTGCTCCTACTTCGCATGCTTATGGAAGCGAGCATTTTAGTAGATCTCACTCTAATCGTGCTCCGGCTACTGGCCCTTGGTTTGGTTCCGTATTAGTAAACTTACTGCCGGTAGTGTAAGAAAAATTCTTACACTATGCCGGTAACTGCTTTTAGTCTAATCGCTATCCTAACAACCTTCCTTGGATGGTAGGACCTGCAGCAACAATGGTTCCAGTCAGTTTAGCTTGTTGGGTCATCGCGATATGCAAGCCCGACCACCACGTCAAGGTAGCAGCTATCGGTCAGGTGTCTGCTGATGTCTCTAATTCTGTTTTGAATTCCTTTAAGGCATGTAAATTCAAGTTTAAGTTCCATATGTTTGCGAGATAGGGTTTTTTTTTGTTGGCTTGAAGTTGTGCTAGTCTTAAATTTTCAGATACTAATGGGATTTCTTGATCACACATGCAGTGATATGATTTAGAAAGACTACGGATTTAAAAAGTTATCTTAGTCTACTCACACGATCTGTTAACAAGCTGGATTTTCATAAGTAAACTTTCAAAAGTTTTGTCTCATAATAGCAACTTTTGGAGAAAGTATTTAATTTCAAGGATAATCTTTATTAACCTATCATTATAGAGAAAGTTGATATTTCTAAGAGTTGTTCATTCTAAGCACAAAGTCTGAAAATGTTACAAATCTTCATGTTAAAAGTAAAAATAATGTCTTCGTTGCGATGTGTATTCCCAAGCGTAGTTAAGACTACTAGATAGAATTCGTGATCGCGCTCCTCAAATTTCTTGTGATTTTTTGGTTGATCATGGTCAAGTCACAGGTACATTCGTGACTTGCTAATTCTTGTAAAGACACTTATATATTAGGAAAACAATGAAATTAATCAACACTATACTCAGTTTTTTTAGTATTATTAGCCTACCTGTTTTAATTGTTGATTCTCAGTTGAATTTCTTCTCTAATCTTTAGCCCGAAAAAAGACCTTACACCACTGCCAATCCTAATCCAATTCAAATGGCTCCTCAACACGCGACCCATCATAATCGGAGTCACGCTAGTAGCTCACAAAATATTCAAATGAATCATGCATACCATGGACACAATCGTGCTCCTACTTCGCATGCTTATGGAAGCGAGCATTTTAGTAGATCTCACTCTAATCGTGCTCCGGCTACTGGCCCTATTGAGCCAGATCCGAAACGTCAACGATTCGACCGCCCATTTCCTGGACAAGGTCGCAGGTCACCACAATCCCACATACCAAATGGACATCATGTTGATGGAACATCCCGCGTAAGTTTGATATGTACTTATATATCCTAATTAGTTGAAGACTAGTGGTGTTAATCACCGTTTGCCCTCATTTCACAATCTCATTCTTATCTCATTTGGTTAATAAAACTACAAATGAATATATTTGTGGCTCATAGCAAGGTGCATACTTTCTGTGTTTCGCGTGCCGCATCATTATTCAGCTATTATGTCTACTAGATGACTGGAGGCAATCGACAGGAAGCCTTGGACCTAGGTTTTATGCTCACTGGCACTCATCACCTTCAATCTTGAAAGAATTCATATCCCTTCTTAGTTTCAAACCCGTGTCGCTGAGTTCTGCAGTCAGAGACGTTACCACAGCTATTCGGGCCTGCAGTTGACCTCCTGTAGGAATGCATTGAATACTTTGATTGAACTGATAGAATTCAATCGACAATCAGAAAAGAACTGACGTATGACACTAGTTACTGTCCAGTTAGCGTATCACACGTTTGTTAATAATTACTACCGAATAAAAAGTAAATAATAGTTTGAAGTCTTTACATTTGCTTGTTGAAGCATCTTTTTATTAATATACGAAAAGCCTCGCAGCCTGAAGACTTTGTGTTTCGTAGTTGTTTTCTAGTTGGAATTAGGTATCCTACTATAATACAAATCATTGTGTCCCAAGTTTCGGCGCACATGACGCACTTATGACACTGAGCTAGCTCAGCTTCCGATCCTCAACGGCTAGGTTACGTAAAAGTCACCCTCTTTTCTCATCGGGAAAACTGTCTTATGGATGTTACTTGGCGAGTAAATTGTGTCGCAAAACTAAATGTGTTCATTCATGTATATACCTACAGAATAAGTCGTATATGTTGCAGACACCAGTATTAAGGTCGAGGACAGCTTTTAACGCGAAATGTAGGTGCAATCTCACCACCTGACCTATTGAAGTCAATGTTAACTTCAACTGATAAATATGATGATAACTCACCAATCGAACATCACGTCTCGCCTGTCAAACATGAATAACACGTAGTCGTTGATCATCCTTATCTAAATGCTTACCAGTGAGAGCAACTTGTATCTGTTGATATTTTCTGCATACATGAAATGAAGCAGAATACTAGAAAACACACCTCGACACACTGGCAACTGAAGCAGAACGGGCCGCATTTGAGAGACATAAAACACTGCAGCAAAACCAGGTAACCTTTTAGAGGAGGTAATACAGATAAAACCAGTAGAATATAGTGGAGGAAGCTTAATTATGCAGAGGTGAAATAGTGAAAATACTGGACACATCATTTCAGAGAACTACCATCAACAGTCACAAAACCCACTAGTCAACACTGGTTGTCCAAAAGGTCTGAGGTCTTGAATGCTATAAAGCAAGGAGGGCGGTAGAACCAGATGGAATTCCCGTAGAGGCACGGAAAACTGACCCAAAGACCCCAATGGATATGGCTGCGTTAGTTATGCAGGTAGCTGTATGATGATGTCAAGTGATTCACAACGGGTAGATTAGCGAAGCGTATGAAGGGGGGGGGAGTAAGATAAAGCTGCCTACTACTACCGATGATATTCCTAGTTGTGGTGGTCTGGATTATGCAATAAACCGTGAGTAAGGAGCAAGAAGATGGGCATACAGTGTTAGAGGCCCTTAATATGGGTAATATAACTATTCAACCTAATAATAATGATAATCCAATGATGAGTGAAATGTCTTTATCGTACAAATATTTCTTTAGGGAAATCGTATGGATAATTCTGTCTCTCACTCTGGTGGCGAACACAAAACGCACTATCCCCCTGGCAATCGAACGCACAGCACAGATTATAGGAATGGTCCGTCTACTGGTTATAACACTATTCCGAATAAGGTTTGTGATGTTTATTTTGAACTATTTATTTTCTAATTTATAAATTTTTCCTCTCTTCGTATCATAATTGGTTAGCAGTATGCTGTAGTATTTCGTGTTTATTTAAAACAAAGGCTGACCACTGTATAAACACTGCGAAATGATCTAATATGGAGTTCTTCACTTTTGATTGGCCTATCCAAAAGTTTTGTCGAATTAAAATTATACAAGGTTGAAAAAAGCTAAGTCGTACACATAGAATACATGTGTAGTCTTCCTGATGTTATTGATAATACTATGATGTGTGATTTGTTTTACTATTAAGTGTTATGGATGTCAAAGTAGATACATGTACGCGATATTTTCGAGTGTTTTGTTAGTGAGAAATTTAATTTAGCATTGAATATTGCCTGAGGACTTTTGCATTTGCATTGTCAAGTATATTCATGTATTCTTTACCTGATT